CGGGGGGGGGGGGGGGGGGCTGGAAGTGGGGATTAGATGCCCACGGGGATCTAAGCCTTCGGACTCTGAGCGCCCATTTCCCATAGTCCAAAAGACCATCCCACCAGACCTGCAGGAGCAGCTGAAGTCCATCAAGACCCTGACCAAAGAGGTTCGGCAGGAAAAAGCAAAAGTGAGTGAGGGAGGGCCTGTTGCCGGCGCCCCCCTGCCGTTTGCCCGTGGATGGCCCGCAGTCCTGTCATCGCTACCAGCCTATCAGGCGGGGAATGCGGCTCAGACGTTGCCGCGGTCACTCCCTGGGGGAAAACCTGGAGCCCGTTCTCTCACGCGGCCATTGCCAGTGAAGGCCAGGCCAGCCCGCGGGCGCAGCGCTGGGACCCAGTGTGTGGGACTGTCGGGGGCCAGTGGTCATGGCGAGGGCTACCGGGCCTTCAGTTGTCACCTTTTTTTTTTATCCTCACCCAAGGATATTTTTGCATTGATTTCCAGAGAGTGTGGAAGGGAGAGGGAGAGACAGAGGGAGAGACATCCATGTGGGAGAGACATCGATGGGTTGCCTCCCACACTCGCCCCAAACAGGGCCTGGGAGCTGAGGTACGTGCCCCTGACGGGAATTGAATCTGCACCTTTCAGTCCGCGGCCTGATGCTCTATCCACTGAGTCAAACCAACTAGGGCTTTAGCTGTCTTTTTATATATATATATAGTCCTCATTAGAGGATATTTTTCCATTGATTTTTAGAGAGAATAGAAGGGAGAGGGACAGAGAGAGAGAGTAGCATTGATGTGATAGAGACACATTGATTGGTTGCCTCCTGCATGCGCCCTGACCAGGGCCAGGGATTGAGCCTGCAACCGAGGTACGTGCCCGTGACTGGAATCAAACCCAGGACCCTTCAGTTTGCAGGCTGACACTCTACCCACTGAGCAACACCAGCCAGGACTTTAATTGTCTTCTTACTGAAGACTGTCTACTCAGTGGTCAGCAAACTGCGGCTCTTTGGCCTCTTGAGTGTGGCTCTTCCTAAGCCTTAGGAGAACCCTAATTAAGTTAATAACAATGTACCTACCTATATAGTTTAAGTTTAAAAAATTTGGCTCTCAAAAGAAATTTCAATCATTGTACTGTTGATATTTGGCTCTGTTGACTAATGAGTTTGCCGACCACTGGCATAGACATATGCAATATCTGTGCAAAATTATCCCATACCTGGGATGGGCTGGAGGGCGGAGGGCTGCCAGAAGTGGGGAAGGAGGTGGCAGCTGGTCCACTGAGCTTCCAGCTGGGTCTCCTCAGGTAAATGCCCTGCGCCGGCTGACCCTGCTCTCAGCCGAGCAGCTGGGAGCCAGCCTGGTTGGCCCACACCCCATCTCTGGCCTGGGTCGTGTCTGCTCTTCCGGTTGCCCACATCTAGTGCAAGCTGCTGGTGGGAGTTTCCCAAGTTCCTGAAACAGCGCAGCACCAGGACTTGGA